GAAATCCAGTGATAACAGAACTAATTTCCTTAAGTTGCATTCTTTGCTTTCAGTGTTCCTTACACCATGAGTTTTAGTGGCACCAACTTATAAAGTATATCATTTATACTATTGTTCTGAGTAAATTACCCAACCTAATGAACAATAACTTAATGAAATATATGCAGTTACTGTTCTTGGTTATTCATTTCTTCAGATAGGTAAAAATGACTGTACAGTTCTGATCTCTCTGATACTGACCTAATACTTAATTTCAACAGAACTACAACTGGTGTTAAATTAAACTGTTAGATAAAGTATCTATTAAGAATTTACACAGTAGTGTGTTTTAAGACTAACTCAGTTTTATTGAAACTAAGTATTAATTGCCATAGCTAAACTTAATTTTATAAAATCGTTTATGTTTAGCTCACATATTGTGCATGGAGTTAGAAATCTTGTTAATTCACTAGGGAAGTGTGATAATTCACACTTAAATAAAGAAACAACTTTGTACATGTTCCGCAAACATGTTAAGCCCAATACTTCTTAGTAACTGAATAGCAGAGTTCAGTGTTTGTACCCTGTGGGTAGTAAGCCTCAGATGTTAAACAAAAGATGAACTGTAGGCATAATGAATGTATTCATCAATTGAAATACAAATGGGATAAGCACAAAGATGAGGAAATGAAAAGCCACATTCTTCATGAAAGCCCCATCCCAAATTGCTTTTGCTAAAACTATTGTTTCATAAAGAGAGCTATTTACGGTTGTTTTGAATGTTTACATAATGTACAGTATATCTAAAAAGTATTTTTGATTCTGTTTGCTATACTAAGTATTTCTGTAATTTCCTATATTCTTCCAATCATCTTAACCATGCTGTGTCCTTTTCTAGTGTGTGGTATTGGTTTAAAACCAAAGACTGAAATTGATAAATTGGACTGGATCTAAAAATGGATTGTGTTATGTATGAACTTGTTAACTTCCAGTGCTGCTGTTGATCTTTGAACATATTCTGCCTGAGGGAAACATGTTTTCAAAACAGAGCTATATATTCGCCGTAAGGACCACCTAATGATACGTTTTCCTACATAATACTAACTGATATCTAATCATAAAGTGAATGAACTTAACAGAATCTTCAGATCTTGATAGGTGTAAATATACATATCGTACACCTGATGCTACTTGAGTAATATTTTATCCTAATAGAGAATATGATGCAAAACTGAAGGACCACTTAGCTTAGCTGAATCATTTATTATAGCTTTGTCTTAGTTTTGCTATAATTATGGCTGAGATAACCTAAAGTACAACCACCTGTCTTGAAAAAGTGAATGTTTTCGCACCTCCTTAGAAACAGAAATGTTCCACATTTTCCGCTATCCATCTGCCTTTAAAATCCTTCTGTAAAAAGAATATGAAATGCACAGCGAAAATTGGGTAGATATGCATTTATAATTTGGATTTGTGTCATGGAAGTTATACCTCAGTGGAAAAAAGAAATTACTCCACCCCATTGTATCTCCTTGTGAATAATACAGCCATATTTACTGATTACTTAAATAAAGGAATTTTAAAAACCCTCGAATACATTGTATTTTTTAAAATATGAAGATTTTTAATTGTAGCTATACACAAAGGACAGCAAGTTTTCTATGAAAAGCCTGAACATTGTTTACAGATCAGTGGTACAAGATTTTCCTGGTGTGTGTGTGTGTGTATGTAAAGCAGCGTAATGTCATACATCAACGAAAATTTTTGCACAGGCACAGGGAAGTGTCTTGGTTTATTATGAATAAAGACCAAATAAATTCCTCACAGCAGCACTGGCAAAAACAGAATACTTTGAAGGCACCAGATCCCTTCTGATCTTGGAAGCCAAGTGTGGTTTGGCCTGGTTCATACTTGGATGGGGGACTGCCAAAGGAGTCAGTAGCAAGCAGTATGTCAGAGGAAGGTAATGGGAAACCGCTTTTTGAATGCTCCTTTTTTTAAGAAAATACAGCGGAGCCTCTAAAAAGCATCTCAATTTAAGAGTATTTTAAGAGGGAGAGCTAGCTTTAGAGCATTGGTTCCCAACCTTTTTTTGTCCAGGGTTTTGAAAAGGGTTACAAATCAGTTTTTGGTCAACTTTAGATTCAGTTTGGTTATTTGGGGTGCTGATTCAGAAAATTGCATTGGATAGACCACATCGGCTCAAGTTTCTGATACAGAACATATGCCATCCAGTAGTCACCATCTGCTCACCCACAAAAAATCATATTTAATAAGCCCAGGCACTATAAGAGGGTTTTGTGAGACCAGTTGCTTTTGTTGCAACGGTGTATCAGTGAGGCTTCGGGCCATATTTTAGTTCTTGTGGACCACTGGTTGGGAACCACTTTTAGGGTTTCAAGGGAACAGCCTCCATGCCTTGGGTTCTTGTCTGCTTTGGGAGATTGCTGTCCACTTTGCTCTTGTCCGCTTCGAGGAAATTTGGGTTAGTTGATTTTGTGTGGCTTTTTATTTCTGGTATGTTTGGCTCTATGAAGAAAGAAAGGGAGAGAAAGCAAGAGAGGAACAGAGGCTGGAATTAGTACAGGATGAAGAAAACGATGCTTCTGCCTTTTCACTTCGTGCTTCCTTGACACAACTTTGTACTGCTACAATTTAAAGTTGATCTTTTTTCTTGTTCCATGTGAGTGTGCATTTATTCATTGATATTTATAAACTACATTTTATTTAAAAACATGTAACAAATCATTAGGAGTGGGGGAGCCAGAATGGATTAATAGCATTTCAATGGGGAAATTCGCTTTGAGAAAAAAGCATTTTGAGTTAAGAGCTTGGTCACGGAACAAATCAATCTCTCAAGTCGGGATCACTGTATATAAAACTTGGGTCACCAAATCAATGGGTGACTTGAAAATTCATACACCCACATGTTTATCATCTACATCGAGATGGGTGAGAGATGCCACTGGATTAAAAGTCTCACAATCTGAACAACCAGTTGATGGGAACTGGAGTTCATGGTGTAGTGGTTGGAGCATTGGACCGAGGCTCCAAGAAACCAGGGTTCAGATCCTTGCTTAGTCTTGGAAAACGGGGGCACTTGAGTAAGTTGGACTCTGTCAGCCTAGGAAGAAGGCAGTATTAAATTAATAAATACATACATTCCTCTGCCTGAGTTCAGAGACATTTATTCCCTAGTAGGAAGTCAGGCTGCTGGTTTGAAATTGGAGAGGATTATTGAACATTTAATGGTTGTGTAAAAAGAGTTGCAGAAGGTGTTGCTTTTCAAGTGAACGACAACATCTCCTGATATTCCCTCATTTACACAGCCATTAAAGGTACAAAAGCCCCATCCAATCTTCACTTTGAGAATCCCTTATTCAAAATTTCCTCTGGACACATTCCAGCTTGTCAACATCTCCCTTCAATTGTGGTGCTCAGAATTGGACACAATATTCCAGGTGTGGTCTGAAAAGGCAGAATAGAGGGGTAGCATGACTTTCCTGGATCTAGACACTATATTCCTGTTTATGCAGGCCAAAATCCCATTGGCTTTTTCAGCTGCCACATGACATTGTTGACTCATGTTTAACTTGTTGTCCATGAGGACTTCTAGATCTTTTCACACGTAATATTGTCAAGTCAGAAGCGGCCAACTTCCGGTCAAAGAAAATTTAGCATAATGCCAAGTGTGTTTGTGGTTTTTGCACATGTACTTCTTTTGAGCCAGAAGCGGCCAACTTCTGGTCAAAGAAAATGTAACATAATGCCAAGTTTTTCACTTTGTTTGTGGTTTTTTTTTTTAAAAAAAAAAATACATTGTAACTGTATTCTCGACTTGCTTCTGACACAATACATAAAATAGCAAATGCTGGATGGTCATCTGTCTGAGGTGCTTTGGTGGTGTGTCCCTTCATAGAATCACAGAATAGAATCATAGAATCAAAGAGTTGGAGGAGACCTCATGGGCCATCCAGTCCAACCCCATTCTGCCAAGAAGCAGGAATATTGCATTCAAATCACCCCTGACAGATGGCCATCCAGCCTCTGTTTAAAAGCTTCCAAAGAAGGAGCCTCCACCACACTCCGAGGCAGAGAGTTCCACTGCTGAACGGCTCTCACAGTCAGGAAGTTCTTCCTCATGTTCAGATGGAATCTCCTCTCTTGTAGTTTGAAACCATTGTTCCGCGTCCTAGTCTCCAGGGAAGCAGAAAACAAGCTTGCTCCCTCCTCCCTGTGGCTTCCTCTCACATATTTATACATGGCTATCATATCCCCTCTCAGCCTTCTCTTCTTCAGGCTAAACATGCCCAGCTCCTTAAGCCGCTCCTCATAGGGCTTGTTCTCCAGACCCTTGATCATTTTAGTCACCCTCCTCTGGACACATTCCAGCTTGTCAATATCTCTCTTGAATTGTGGTGCTCAGAATTGGACACAATATTCCAGGTGTGGTCTAACCAAAGCAGAATAGAGGGTAGCATTACTTCCTAGATCTAGACACTATGCTCCTATTGATGCAGGCCAAAATCCCATTGGCTTTTTTTGCCGCCACGTCACATTGTTGGCTCATGTTTAACTTGTTGTCCACGAGGACTCCAAGATCTTTTTTACACGTACTGGCAGAATATGGGTTGGACTGGATGGTCTTTGTGGGTCTCCTCCAAATCTGGGATTCTATTTTTCATAAGGAACTGCAGTGCTTTCTGCTACAGGAGAACCTTTGAGCAGTGGTTCTCAACCAGAGTCCCCAGATGTTTTGGCCTACAGCTCCCAGAAATCCCAGCCAGTCTGCCAGCTGTTAGGATTTCTGGGAGTTGAAGGCCCAAACATCTGGGGACCCTAGGTTGAGAACCACTGTCCTAAGAGGAAGGTATACTTTGAGGGAGTGAAGGGATGCTGAAGGTGCAATTGGCTCTTCTGAGAGGCTGAGCCCTTCCCTTGTGGGACAACTGGCTGAGGCCCAATCCCGGCCGGCGCGCGACCCCGCTGCCTAGCAACCGCGCGGCCAAAGTTGCTTAGCAACGGCGCGGCGTCCCTGCCCCTCCCTCTCTTCCCCACGGCCGCCATGTCTGAGGAAGAGGAGGCGGTGGCCGAGGCTGAGGAGATTATTCGGAGCCAGAGGATCTTCCTCAACCACCTGGACTCCTACTGCGGCCGTAACATCGGGAAGGTGAGACTTGAAGCGGGGAGAGGCGGAGGGGTCAGGCTGAAGGAGGAAGGAGGCATCTACACTGTGGAAATAATGCAGTTTGACACCACTTTAGCCACCAAGGACCAATGGTATGGAATCATGGGCGCTGTAGTTTTGTGAGACACAAGTAGCAGGATTGAAGACCGGCCACAGGTTCGAATCCGGGGAGAGGCAGATGAGCTCCCTCTATCAGCTCCAGCTCCTCACGCAGGGACATGAGAGAAACCTCCCACAAGGATGATAAAAACATCAAATCATTCGGGCGTCCCCTGGGCAACGTCCTTGCAGATGGCCAATTCTCTCACACCAGAAGCGACTTGCAGTTTCTCAAGTCGCTCCTGACACGACCAAAAAACAAATATTATTTATTTATTTACGACACTTATATGCTGCCCTTCTCACCCCGAAGGGGACTCGGATTGGCTTACAAGATATATATACATACAATATATTATATTATTAGCATAGTACAATATCAGTATTATTTATTTATTTACGACATTTATATGCCACCCTTCTCACCCCGAAGGAGACTCAGAGCGGCTTACAAGGTATATATACTTACAATACACTATACTATTAGCATAGTACAATAGCAGCATTAAATACTGCTATATTGTACTATACCAATTATATTGTAATATTATTAGTAATATTACATGTAATATAAATATATAATTACAATGTCATATTATTATTATTAGTAGTAGTAGTAGTAGTATTATATTGCATTACAGGCATGGGTAAACTTCCAGGCTTTCGTATGAACCATAGAACCAACTGGGTGACTTTGGTGAATCACATTGTCTCAGCCTCAGAATAAGGCAATGTTAGCCCCCCTCTGAACAAATTTTTGCCAAGAAAAATCTCATGGTAGGCTCACCTTAGGAACAAAATAACTCAGAAATTACTTGAAGGTGTGCAACACAACTCATAAAGGTATCTATCCCCTGACTATTGCTTTTGTTTTGCTTTTATGTTTCAACAATGCTATCTTCATTTTTCTGCTGTCATGATTTATGTGGTGTGTTCAGTGAGACTGGATGGGCATCTTTCAGAAGATCCATAGTTGTGTATTCACACATGGTGTGGTTAGACTAGATGGTTCTTGAAGCCCCTTCCAGCTGTAGGATTGTATGAGGAATGGTTGAGGGAGGCCACATCCACACTGCTATATAAAATCCAGGTTTTGTGCTTTGAACTGGAATGTTTAGCTTGGAGAAAAGAAAACTGAGAGGGGACATGAGAGCCATGTTTAAATATTAGAAAAGATGTGACATTGAGGAGTAGGCAAGCGTGTTTCTGCTGTTCTAGAGATAGGATATGGAGCTGCAAGGCCATTTGCTGGGGGTGCTTTGATTGTCTTTTCCCACATGATAGGTGGTTGGATTGAATAGCCTATGTGGTCTCTTCCAACTCTATGATTCAATATTGGATTGCAGCTCCCAGTTTTCCTCACCGCTGGATATGCTGGCTTAGAGCTGATGTGACTTGTGATCCAACAATATCTAGGAGACCACAAGAAGGAAGGAAAGACCATTAAAAATACTTGCTTTAAATGAACCAATGATTGAGGACACAACTGTGATGAAAATAAATGTTTTATTCCCATGCCATTTTCTACATTAAAATCACACACATACATAGCTATACCTAATATTTGTCCCATAGAGGAAACATATACAGATCATGTATGGGCATCTACATGTTTCATCCTGTAAATGACCAGTGGGAAAAGAAAATGGCATACAGTGGTAGAAGCTATCCCAAGCTCCTTGTTGTAGTTATGCCTTCAGGGAATTTCTGAATTATGGCAAGCTATTATGTGGATTGTATTGTCGAAGGCTTTCATGGCCGGAATCACTGGGTTGTTGTAGATTTTTCCGGGTTATATGGCCATGTTCTGGAGGCAATTTTTCTCCTGACGTTTCGCCTGCATCTATGGCAAGCATCCTCAGAGGTAGTGAGGTCTATTGGAAGTAGGAAAATGGGTTTATATATCTGTGGAATGACCAGGGTGAGACAAAGGACTTTTGTCTGCTGGGGCTAGGTGTGAATGTTTCAGCTGATCACCTTGATTAGCATTCAATGGCTTGGAGGTGCCTGGGGGAAATCTTTTGTTGAGAGTGATTTTATGTGCCTGTTTGTTTCCCCTCTGTTGTTTTGCTGTTGTAATTTTTGAGTTTTTTAATACTGGTAGCCAGATTTTGTTTATTTTCATGGTTTCTTCCTTTCTGTTGAAATTGTCCACATGCTTGTGGATTTCAATGGCTTCTCTGTGTAGTCTGACATGGTGGTTGTGTGGATTTCTTGGAAAAAGTTGTTCAGAGAATTGCCATTGCCTTTGTCTGAAACTGAGAGAGCGTGACTTGCCTAAGGTCAAACTGTGGGTATCAATGACTAAGCAGGGAATCAAACATTGGTCTCCAAAGTCATAGTCCAACACTATTTGCTGTAGATTTCACCTCAAACAAATCAAGGACTATACCAATCACCCTTTGTGTGCTTTTATCTGTTTTAATTTGGCAAAGCTGCCTTGATTTCCATATTTGATAAAAGAGTACAATATTAAAAAGTATATAAATAGGTTTGGGTTTACCCAATGCCTTTACATAATATTACATGTAAAATCTATACACACTACTTGATGCCTCCTCAGTGACAGGTGTGATATAAAAGTAAAAACAGTAATAAGTAGGAGATCTCAAAAATTATTTTGGGAAACTCCCAGAATCCTCTATATCCTCTGGAGAGTTTTGGAAGTTGTAGCTTTATAAAGTAACTTTTTGAGACCTTGCTAATTTAGTGAGCAATTCTTTTCTTTCTTTATGGCTGAATAATTTCATCTCACAGCTCACTACAGCAAATTCTCACAATGCCATGGTTGGTTATTGAATTAATGCTTATCAATTGATCCAAATACAAAAATAGGACATTGCAATGACTTATATGAAATGAATTATTTTAATTATTCCATGGACCATTTTGTGTATGTTTAAAGTACCTATCAAATGCTATTGTTGGAGCCTCTCTGGACGAAATTGCAGAGGAAGAAGAGGAAGAAGATGAAGGGAGATCAGCTGCTGAAATTTTACCTCCAAAACCAAAGGAAGGACTATACCAAATTGTGGGAAGTCTTTCACAGGAAACAGATAAAAAGCCAGATTTTGCTGTGGAAGCATATACAGTGAGTATTACTCTTGTTCGTCCTGTGAAATACTCCGCTTGCAAAGTGCAAAAGTGAAGCTGGATATATTTGACACGTTCAGACTACAGGAAAGGTCAATCAATGAATCAATCAAAATAATAGTTCATGGCTTTCCAAACTTGATATAGTTATAGGCCATAGCATACCTTACCACACACCTGCCTGAGGCCGATGAGAGTTGCAATCCAGCAACCTCTGGAGACCCACAAATTGCCCAACACTGCTCCAAAAAGAACACTGCAGTAGATGGACTAGGACTATATATCCATTCTCTTTTCCACGATTCATTGCAATAGTGTTTAGTATAAAGTTTTGTGATACCTTGGGTATGTTTTGAGAGCTATTTCATACCTTGAACAGACCATGTGTGATTGTTTTCACAAGATTTTTACCATCTCAAGTGTGGTATGTCAAAACATCTGCTTGAGTTTGCATTTGTGTCATTTCTTCATTTTCAAAGGTTGCATGTTCAGGGAGACATGCTTTTTGTTAATGCAGGGATCTATCTAAGATGATATTACATACTCTACTGAATGCTTGACTCAGATCCGAAATGGCTGTCATACCTCTCTAAAGATTATAAATTATACTATGACCTGTACAGTACATTCATGAGCATCTCAGGGCTAAATTAAATCTGGGAGTGAAGTTTGTAAACAATGTTGCAACATGGAGGAAAGTGAATTCCTCTTCAACAGCCTTTTTTTTTTCTTTTTAGACAACATATCGGGATGAGTTGTTAGCTCGCATGTTAGAATGTGACATAATTATTTATAACATCACTGAAGATGCAAAACAGATTGAAGAAGCAACCTGGGCAGCCACTGGTCAGTACACTTTGCTCCTTCTCTAGAATTTGTATGACAAAATGGTCATCCACTAGGGAATGAAGGTGTTTGATCTAGTTTGAAGGAACAGATAGTCAATTGAACCACAATTAACTTTCTCAGCCATGGAAGTATGTAAATCATACACCTGCAAATTAAGTCATCCTATTTATGTGAATGTTAGACATTATGATTATACTAGTTTCAATGCTTTGGTCAAGTTGAATAGGTATAGCTAGGCTGTACATCTCAAAAATATCTAAGCTGAATTTTTGGTAATTTAGCTTGCCTCTTATATTCACATGTGCGAATGAATCAAACACTGTGGTCCAAATAGATTGTTTGCCTGTTCGGCTGGCTAGCTGGCTGACTTTCTCAAATACTGGCATTTATTGACCATCTTTTGCTGGGGAAATTAGTGTCTCTATGTTCTAACCCAGATCATTTGTATACCTTTCCAAAGAGCCGGTTTTCTAATAGGAACATTTGCATAATACCAACAGCTGACTGTAAGATAAGGAACTCTGGACGTGCTTGGCATTTATCTTTGCACCTGCAGTTTGCCATTTAGTGAAAGATAAATACACAGATTGCTCTGTCTATGTTAATGTTACATTGCTTGCATCCTTCCAAATGGCATTGAACTGCAATTTCCATAATTGTAAATATCACGGCCAGTGTTGAGGAATGATGGGAGTCCTAGTACAACAAAATTTGGTAAACCATATTTTGTCCAATCTTGATGTAAAAGCTGTATACAGAGCTTCTTGTTCAATGTCAGCTATGCAAGGCCACTTCTGAAATGACAACAGAGGCATGTCGAAGTGAGATTGTCAATGGTAAAATGAGAAATCTTGATATGCGTATAAGCTTTTGTGTCCACATTAAGACAAGGCTGGACAACAGATAGATAGGTAAATTTTGAGTGAATTCTTGTACATCTCCATAGAATTCTGTTTTGCAATACAAATATTTTTTTACTTCCCTTTCGTAGTATACAACTCAATTCTCCCATACCTTATTTTTAATCTGTAAATTATGAATATAAGTGAGTTAATTTTCAAAAGGTTGCTATGGAACTTCTGCTGTGCAGTTTTTGAGTTTTGTGTTACCTGGAAGTAACTGGCTATTTTTTAGACAGAGTAATAAAGATGTAATGAGGACACATTTGAAAAACAACATAACATTTAGGAACAATGTTTTCAAAAATTGGAGATGTGTGTAATTAATAGGATTTTCTATTTACTTTTTAAAGGGTATTTTTTATTTCTTTAGAGACATTTTGATCATTTTTTTTTACATTTTACATTCTTGCTTATTATTCCTGAAGTGTTTTTCTTTAATTAAAAATTAAACAACCCAACAAGTTTGTAATTATATATTTTTCAAAGTTAGGGGCCTTGTATTAAGTTGCAAAACAAATTGCTTTTAGAAAATATCTTTCCAGATTGAGAATCTTTTATCTGTAGAATTCTGATGTAGATTTGCAAGATTGTGGGAGGCCATGGTGACCCTCTGTGAACACTGGGTTAAAAAACCAAATTAATTCCCATCAATCTTCCTGCTTTTGGAATAAAATACTGCCTATATATTACTGGGAGAAGAAAAGATTACCCTACCAGAAAACAGATCTAAAATTATGGAAATAGATAATTAAAATTAGCATCTATGCTCTTATATGATTACACAGTGTTAAATGAGGAATCAGTCAACTTTGAGAAGCAGAAGGTGTTCATTCTACTATCAACAATCATGACGTGGGCACGAAGCAAGCCTCTTGATCCTGTGAGTAGTTGGAGAAAAAAAGAAACAAACTTCTGACTGATTTTAGGAAATGTGCTTATATCATTAAATCTTTGAAATGTGCAATGCAGTCTCATTTCTCTGAATGTCCCTGTTTTAATTTGAATCCTGAAGCTTTTGTGAGTTTGTCTTTTTCTTTTTATAAAAAAAAACACAGAACAGCCTTATTTTCAGCACACAAAACTACAATTTAAATTGTAGCTGTTGTGGAAGTAGTGGTTATAATTTCCTTTCTTTATTGAACTAGGATGAAAGGTGGTTTACCAAAACTAAAACAGATACATTTTAAAAAAACAGATATGTAAATGCATGTAAAATGTTACTGTTGAAAAGGAAATTATTTGTAGAATTAAAAACAATTTAAAACAAGTTATGAAAAGTAACCTACATGCTGATGTTAAAATTCCTCTCTTAACATTTTGTTTGCCCAAAATAAAAATAATAATTTGCTAAGTTTTCAGTTTAATCAATTTTTTATTCTTCCTTCTTTCGCTTCCTATCACCACTTCACTCTGCCCAGGATGATCCAGAAATACCTTTTACTGAAGAAGATTATCGGCGAAGGAAACCTCATCCGAATTTTATAGAGCATACCAATGCAGAAAAAACTATTATAAAACTTGGAAAAAATGTAGGTATTGATGGAAAATTTGCTTTCTGAAATTTTAATAGAGGCAGGTGACAGGTGTTTAAGAATCTCACCATCTGAATTATTTCCATGTTGACTCAAGCGGAGGGAATATCACTGTTGGCTTTGTTGAAAATGAGCTGCTTGGAATCAAGACCAAAATAATTGCAGAACACATATTCGGAGAATCATTTAACCACACCTGAGGGGAAGCACTATCTTTTGGCATTTTCTAGAGTCTTCAAATGATTCCTTGGGACTTTATTCTTCTGTAACATGGCAGAAAACTATTTCTCTCTCAGTATTTAATTATTTCATACATTTGTATCCGCATCCTTCTCACCCCCGAGGGGTGATTCCGGGTGACTTCACAACAGGCATTTGTTCAGTGCCATCCGCATTCATAAAAATAGATTTAAAACAATTCATTAAAACATTACATTAATAAGGCATTTGTTTAAAATCATGCAGGTTTAAAATCCAAGTCCGGATCAATCCATTGTCATTCATATCACTTGAGTCTTATTCTCGATTGCTGCCTCTATTTTTCAAATTCTTGGTCCCATAACCAGGTTTTGATTTTCTTTCTAAAGGACAGGAGGGAGGTAGCCAATCTGATGTCACTGGGGAGAGAGTTTCACAGGCAAGGGGCCACCACTGAGAAGTCCCTATCGCTCGTCCCCACCAGTCGCCTTTGCGATGGTGGTGGGATCAAGAGAAGGGCCTCTCCAGCTAATCTTAAACTTCGTGATAGTTGGGAGATATGTTTGGACAGGTAATCTGGACCAGAACCATTCAGGGCTTTAAAGATTAAGACCAGCACTTTGAATTGTGCTCAGTAGCAGATCGGCAGCCAGTGGAGCTGGCAAAGCAGAGGAGTTGTACGCTCCCTGTATGCCTCTCCGGTGAGAAACCTGGCTGCCAATCGTTGGACTAGTTGGAGCTTCTGGGCAGTCTTCAATGGCAACCCCATGTAGAGTGTGTTGCAGTAGTCTATTCAGGATGTAACAAGAGTGTAGACCACTGTGGCCAAGTCAGAATTCTTAGGGTACAGGTGCAACTGGCGCACAAGTTTTAGTTGTGCAAAAGCTCCCCTAGCTACCACTAAGACCTGGGGTTCCAGGCTCAGTTATAAGTCTAGGATCACTCCCAAGCTGTTCCAAAATTACATGCACATTTAACTTAAGAATAGAACCTATCTTGTTCGTAACTTGAGGACTGCCTGTAGTGGGTTGATTATTTCGCTACTATTCTGGAGGCCAGAGTTTAAATTCTGCTTGTCTATGGAAACCCATTGAGTAATATTGGGTAAGTCACACTCTCTCAGCCTCAAAAGAAGGCAAAGGCAAACCTCTCCTGAATAAATTTTGCCAAGGAACTCCCATGATAGGGTCACCGCAAATTAGAAATGGCTTGAAGGCACATAAAAACAACAGATTTCTGGCCATGGGATATGGTCAGGGCAGCTCCTTTTGTTTTCCTCTAGTGATGCATTAACTGAAGATTGCCATGCTACAGAAGTTTTCAAACAATAAATTCTTTTTTGCCCCACAGAATAAAAGCAAATTTGCTACCTATGTCGTGGCTTCAGGTCTTCAGTATGGAGCTGAAGAAAGACTCCTACACTACTTTTTTAAGGTAGGTGCCTTTAATATGTAATTTGGGTTGCAAAAGAGGATGGTACAGAGTGCAAGCCTGCGCCTTCCTCTTGGGGCAGCCTTATGCTATTTAAAGTGTAAAGTCATGTCCCCCTTCAGTCTTCTCTTCAACCTGAACATGCCCAGCTCTTTCAACCTGTCCTCATATGGCCTGACTATGATTGCTGATAATGTGGTTTTATAGTTGTAATTGCAGTGTTTTATATGTTTAATGCTCTTAATCTTCTTTAAATTTTTAATTGAAATGTTTATTTAATTGTATATTCTAATCTAATCAATGTAATTTCTTTAAGCTTGTGGGTGTACAGTATTTCTTGTTATTTCTTTGTCAGTGTTGCTGTGGAGATTGTATGGTTTGCCTACTGTGGAACATGCAACATATAATTGTCGTTCTTTAGAGGTCCCTTTCAAATCTATGATACTATATCTGTCATATACAGATGTGTGTGTGTGTGTAAGAATCATATATATCTAATGGCTGGATGGCTCTTTGTCAGGAGGGCTTTGTTTATGTTTTCTTGCCCTGGTGAAGCAAGTTGGACTGGATGGCCTTAAGGCAGCATCTCAACCTGGGGGTGGGGACCTCTGGGGGGTCATGAGGGGATGTCAGTGGGTTTGTCAAAGACCATCAGACAACATAGTATTTTCTGATGTTCATGGAGGTTCTGTGTGGGTAGTTTGGTCCAATTCTATCGTTGGTGGGTATCAGAAGGCTCTTTGATTGTAGGTGAACTATAAATCACCACCCTTCCCACTGCCTCCTCCTCACGTGCCTTACTCCCCCTCCCCTCCCCCTCTTCCCCCTCCTCCTTCCCCACTTGTCCATGCTTACTTTGCCTTCCTCTCCTCCTCCTCTTCCTCCCCCCCCCCAGCGGCTCCCTGTCAGGGATGGATGGATGGAAGGGAGGGAGGGAGGGAGGGAGGGAGGGAGGGAAGCAAGCCCTCCTCACCTTTCCCTTCTCCAGGTGAAGATATAGAGTGAAGGAAAGGAAGGAAATGCCCTTCAAGACTGGGAGGGAGGACTGAGGAGGAAAGCACCTTGGAAAGCGGTGGGGGCTTGGCAGACGCTGTTTGGGAGCCTGCTGCATGATATATATTTTAAATTAATATTTATTTTTTTAAAAAAAACCTGCAAAATAGCGAGTCCGCTAAAATCAAACCGTGAAGTATCGAGGGAACACTGTAGATAACAATAATTTGACAGTTAAATCATTCTTGGGTAAAGTATTCCTCCCAAATCATTCTAAAGTTACAGTTACTCTGTAATTATTTTCAGGTATCTTGGCTTGGCGAGCTCCCTATCATACCTATTTTTGGAGATGGACGGAATTTTATTCCAGCAATTCACATTGTTGATTTGGCGGCGTAAGTATCCTTCAACTAAAGTTTATTCTGCATTAGCTAACTAGACTTTTGCAAATTACCCAATCACATATTCGAATACAGTTAAGATAAAATAGTTGAACTGGTAATTCCAAACATAGAAAATGTATCCAAGATTGTATCTTGTCACCAGATAGATTACAAGTTTCTCTTTTTAGCAGGGTTTACATTATGTACTTGGTCATTAGATAGGATAAATAACTAATTAGATGCAAAATATTCACTCTGCACTTAAAGGGTCTTAAGGTCATATTGGTACTGAGAGTAAATAAGGGACAAATTTCCAGGATAAATAGTAAAGTTCATATGTTACATTGGTTTCCAAATTTTGGTCTTCCAGGTGTTATGGATTTCAACTTCCAGAACTCTTTGCTCTTGGCCATGTTGGCTGGGGATTCTGGGCATTTTAAAGAATTTAGAAACCATTGTTATATGACAGAGCAGCAGTTGGGGAATATGTGACTCATTGCCCTCATGCAGCTACACAACCACATTTTTCCTCCCCCATGTTTTCCTAAGCTTACCATAACTCACAGAACTCTTCCTCAATTTGGAGGAGGGAGTTGAATAATTATCCCCAAAATAAAGCCAGATTTTAGACACCGTATTCTGAATATTCATTGCATATTATATTAATGCGTTTGACTTACAATTATTACTTTTGTTTGCCCCCCACCCTCCAGAGTGTTACAGAATGTAGCAGATCACAGACCAAGAACTCATTACATAATCGCGGTGGACGAATCAATACACACGCTTGGGGAAATAGTGAGGGTAAAGCAGTTTAAGATTTATGACTGTCATGTCTTTCTGCATAATATACTTTAATGGGTATCTGAAATACTTTAATGCACTCCTTCCTCTATATCCCAGGAACAATATCATAGTAAATGAGATCATGGATATTGTTAAACTGTTGTGTTGCCAAAACAACTAAATCCATAATACACATTACAGTGATGCCTTTATTAAAATGACTGAAAGGTGCAAAATATACAGTGTTTGCAAGTTTTCAAAGCTCCCCGGCTTCTTCTTCAGTTGTGGTGGCACATGATGTCATTCCAGACAGAATGTTTTTGCTATATAACACAAGTGTTCCACTTTTTCCAGGATTGCACAACAATCACGAGGGAAGGCAGACAAAATTTGCCAGCATCCATCAGTTTATTCCATGCTAGAATTGGTATAATTTTCACTCTAAATTAATTACTGAAGAAACAGTCAGTGAGGAACACTTAGGGCCCCTTAGGAAATACTGGAATAATTTCTGAAAGGTATTTTATATATAACTATTCATAAGAGTCTCCTTGAATTTAAAGTTGGGATCCAAGAAAACATAAGTGTAAGCTAATTTTATAGTTCTCAACTGATCGTTTTCTTCTTTGGTTGGGTCTTTCAATGCAACTTTATTTTGAAAACCACCTAATTGATTTAGGTTCTAACACATTAACAATAATTCGATTTTCAAGCAATACTGTTGTGGCAGAATTGTGTTCCTAAATTATTTGGGGCAGTAGAGGAACATATGCCTCAAATGTTTGGGGATTTTTTAACAGGAGAACTGTAATTATTCTTAGATCTTTAGTTATTAGTTCTTTTGTTGCTAAATTACAAATTATGCATTTTTTTAAAAAGTTAGCATAGTTTTCTGAATTAGCTTTCAAAATCTGTAGTAATTGTGTCCAAATGAAAATGATATGATGATGCAATGATGTTTTTGAACAAATAGCCATTTTTCCCAGCACCTATCGGCTCAATATTTGATTTTTTTGTTTTGTTATGGCCTTATGGCTTAAAACAATTTATAAACTATTCTATTTTTCCTTTGCAGTGTTTGATTATTGCTGCATCTAATCTTTTTTTTCCTTTAAAAGAGCATCAGCAAAAATGTGGGCCCAGGAAAAACACAAAAGATTCCAAAAGATAGTGCATTCCTAAACAAAGATCTAACGGTACTTATTTGTTTTGCTTTATTTATTTGTTTGTATACTAAAGATTGAGTAACACTTATCTGAAATGCTTAGGACCGGGGTTGTTTTGATTTTTGGAATACTTGTATTTGCATATATGTACATAATGAGTGTTTACTTGTACATAATAGGATATCTTGGAGATGGGTCCCAAGTCAAAATATGAAATTAATGAGTATCATATATATCTTATGCATATCATCTGAACATAATTTTATACACAATGTTTTCAGTAATTTTGTACATGACATGAAGTTTATGTACACTGATTCATCAGAATACATAGCTACCCATGTGGACATTTCATATTTTTGCAAGTTTTGGATTTCGGGATTCCAGATAATTAATGCTTAGCCTGCAGGAGCAGTTTGTTGAAAAATGATCCAGTGGCATCATGGCTCCCATGCTTTATAGCAGCTGTGGTGGAGGGAAGGCAATGAGGATTTGAGCAAAGGGTTAATCCTCAAAGACCATTGTTCTGATTGCTTCCCCTTCCACCAGCTGCTACTATATACCATTTTTTTTTAAAAAAATTAATACTAAGATACTAATGGAAACTTAGGGAACCAAGGAGGAAGGAGTGCTCTGAAAATACAGAGAAGCAACTCCCTCCCCCCACAATTCTCAGATTATGAACCATCTGTGGTAGCTATATTTTTTAAAGTTAAGATGTACAATTCCTTTATGGATGTACATTGAGATTGTCCAAGCAGTGCAACCTGTTAACCAGCAGTGTGTGGGAAAGAAAATAGAATTCACTGGAGGGAATATGGGGATTGAAGGAAATTAGTTATGAGATATGCATATAGACCTAACAGATCGACAGAGGACTTTATAGCCATTATGCTCCATATTGCTCTGACCCACCTGGAAAGACAGGGGAATTATGTGAGGATGTTTTTTTTGCAGATGATACAACAGTGGTGGGACTTATCACTGCAGGGGATGAGTCCGCCTAATGGGATAAGGTAGATCAGCTGCTCCCATGGTGCAGGGACCATAATTTGGGTTTTAACATCAATAAGACCAAGAGAACAGAAGTTTAGCCCTTGGTCATAAATGGGGACTAAGTGAAGCAGTTTGCCAGTTTTAAGTTCCTGGGTGTCACTGTTAAGGAGGATCTGACCTGGGCATTCATACTGCAGCATTGGTTAAGAGGGCCCAGCAGAGACTTCTAAGAAACCAACCACTGAATGAAAAACTGCTGGTGACTTACTACCACTGTGCTATAGAGAGTGTCCTAACCTACTGCATCTGCGGATGGTTGTGTAACTGCACAGTGGCAGATAGGAAGGCACTTCAAAGGGTCATTACTACTGCACAGAGAATCATTGCTTGCTTTGTCCCCTCTTTGGAAGAATTTTATAAGCCCCACAGTCTTAAGAAAGCTCAGAACATTCTTATGGACCCATCTCTCCTGGTATCATCTTTTAAAAATTATTATCATCTGGCAGACTGTACATGATGACAAAGACAAAGACAAACAGGCTGAGATATAGCTTTTATCCTAGAGCTGTAACTATATTGAACTCCATGGTTTCGCATTGATGTGGCATTGAGGGCTGTGCAGTGGTGGTTGGAGTATGGAGGGATGGGTGTGTTGTTTTTGTGATGTGTGCTGGAGAAAGCATTTAATTTCATTGTACAATGTTCAATGAAAATAAAGTCATTCTATTGTATTAGCATGAGCCCAAGACGGGGATCATACTTAGTGTTCATACTTAGTGAATTTTTGGTTGGGCAAATATACTTTTATACAGAATGTACTGAGATAGTTTGTAACTAATTGAGAGCCTAGCTACTCATAGTTATGAGCTGACCAGAATGTGTTTACACACATGCAGAAAAAATTATTGGCAACTATCTTATTTCTCATCTTGGGTTTTTTAAAGCCCTATACCAGACAAAAGCAGTTTGGTACTCTCAAATTTCTATCATCCAATTGGCCATCCCAATGAGGACACATGAATATCGAAGTCCAAAATATATGTGTGCTAAGTTTCCTATTTCTATCCTAGACACTATATGCTCATTGGTCATTAATATTACCTTAATATCAATAGCATTATCTGTATGATTTCCAACATCCCAGCTCCCAGAGGTTTGAGGTATGATTTGTGTTGAAAAATAGCTTCTAAATGCTGTTAATAGCAATATGATGATGATGGTGATGATTACGTTTACACTATGTTCAGCAAGCACACTTAGATGAACTACTTGTGAACCTACGAATGGAAGCTGTGATTCTGAAAGAGACTTTCAACATTAAGTGGGTTTCTCAAGGAGGAATCGTGGAGAACATAGAACAAATTGTCAACGAGTACAAGCAAAGCCGAGGATTATTGGTAAAAATAGCATATATGTTCTTTAATGTTGCCATGGTGGTCCACACTGTGTATTGACAAGGAGAAGATGATTAAATTATCAGAAAATCAAAACATTAATTTATAAAATATACAGTCTACCATCCTTGACATATTTACAAGGGAACAAGTTTGTTGAATTTACTTGAGACTTATTTCGGAAAAATCGTGTTTAGGATGGTACTCTCAGGACATATTTTTGTTTTTTGTTTTTTAATACTTAGTTTGCTAAACATTTTTTTTTAATTCTAATGAATACATAATATTTTACTGAACTGATGGGTAGGGTAATGCTACCTACTGCTTACTGGGGGTGTGGGGAGGGGGGAATACATATTTTGCAATGTCATTGGAAAGGCCACCACGTTTCCTCAATTTCAGGAGGGAAGGAAAGATATAACATATATTTGTTTCCAACTCAAGTTAAAGTCTAATCACTCTAATAAAAGAATAGTGAGTGGAGGAGAGAAAGAAAAGTGGAACAAGGGGTAGGGAGGCAATAATTACATAAAATAAATATAAAACAGACTGTTTTTTCTGTCTTAAACATCTTATAGTTACTGTCCAGTATTCATCATGTGTGGAAGTTCCTAAGAATTGTAAGATGCTGAAGTGTTTGTGCAAAGTGATCCCTTGTTCTGCACAGCAACTCATCAGCTATGTCTATAACCTGAGGCTGGAAACATACATGTTGGGTTGAGTAAGGCCCCTTATACACTGCCATATAAAATTCACATTATCTGCTTTGTACTGGATTATATGGCAGTATAGAAGGGCCTAAATTTTGGAGTCCCTGTTTCAGGGTTTGTATATTGGGAATGATGTGCTATGGCTGCTGTGCTCTGCTGTGACCTGCCTAAAGCAGTTGACATGAAGGTGGCTCTCTTCCTTCCCTGCTAAACGACCTTGTATGAGGTCTTGTGCCTAGGATAAAGTTGTGTCATCAAGAAAGGCATGACTTGATTTTCATCCATGAAACTACTGTATTTCTTCAGTTCTGAGGCATACTTTTCCCTCTATATAAACATATTTAAAAATGGGGTGCATCTTAGAATCATAGGTGTGTTGTATGTAATTTTGTTGGTGGTACTGAAATTGTAGTACATCTTACCATTAATCGCATCTTACAATCAAAGAAATGTTGTAGTGTTTCCTTTTATCAGTTATGGTAATGTATGTCATATGTTCCAACTGTATAAAGCAATCTTCTGAATCCTAGCTTCTCTGGGCCCTTCTACACCATACTAAAACTCTCAGGTTGTAGTCCTCTCCCCTCCCCCCCCCCCAAACCCAAACCACAGACTTTCCTGGAAGAGGTGGCTAGATACAACCCAGCTCCCCACCAGCCTCCCATTTCAGCCCTCCAAACTTTCCGGAGAAGCCTGTCGGTGGCACAGGCCTCTCTCTACAGTGGAAAATGACACTTCAGGAGGTGGTGGTGGGGGGGGGGGGAATCCCTCCTCTCCTCTCCCTACCTATCAACACATCATTTTCTTGCTCTATGAGGACTGCAGAGAGAGGTTTGATTGCCAGCAGGTCTCTGCGGTAAATTGGGGGGGGGGGATGGGGGGCTGCAGTGGAGGAGGTGGGCATCATTCACTCCTACAGGCTTTTTGGAGCCCGAAGAAGCGAGATTGAATCAGTCCCCACAGGGACCTCATCTCTGAAGACTTGCACCTTAGCTTAAAGTCTCCTTGGGGAGAGAGGGCAGGGAATAAAAAAAGTTGTTGTTGTTATTATTATTATTATTATTATTATTATTATTATTATTATTATTACTTCTTGGATCTTTAGAGGTGTTTGTTTAATGCAGAGCAAACCAGAAAAACCTAGTTTACTCTGCATTAATTTACTTTTACCTGAGGCATCGTTTGGATGCCTCAGGAAGAAAGCGAGACTGGTCCCACGTTTTGGGCCTGTCTAGGAAGGCCCTCAGTTACTGAAACTCAGGTATATTGTAGGACTGCACCCTTAGTAATTCATTTTTCTTCTAATGCTGTGATATGAACAAACCTATTTTAATCCTTTTCTTTCAGCCCATCAAAATTTGTGTACTTGGTCCTCCTGGAGTAGGAAAAACCTCCATAGCAGAACTATTATGCAAACATTACAAGGTGCACCACATTAAAATAAAGGAAGTAATCACTAAAGCAATAGAAAATCTGGTAAGCGTGTCATTGGAGTTGTGTGTTCCTCTGCTATCATTTGTAAGTTATTTGAGAAATTGTTAGAAATATGAATAGAATGCAAAATTAGCAATGGGTGCAATTAGGAATAAAAATGTTTTCATCACATCACATTTCCCCAAATTGGACATTTTGTAATTTCTTTGAAATAATCACTTTATCTAACAAAAGAATATTCTGCCAAACTATTTCAGAACTGTTACAAACACTGACATTCACTGTAAACATTTTTTTTGTTATCCATTCTATATATGGATTTAAGAGGAGAAAGTGATCCATACTGTTTCAACATACATTCATTTCTGGGCAGAATTTAACCACCTTTAGCTATACTTTGTAAATCATTTACATGGAAAAGTGCTAAATGTTACTATACAATTATATAGGAGATGACTCCAAGGTTGTTAGAGATTAAATGCCATTTAAAATAATTTTGTGGGATTGTGATGTCAGTGAATGATAAAAGTTTTGTGAATTACACCAGAATGTTCAAATATCTTGAACATTTAAGTATGCCTTACAACATCAATAATTACTAGTTTTCTATATTAGTGCATTTTTCTAAACAGAATAGGGTGTTGAAATGGCAGGTGGAGGTTGTTTTAATTTTTGTGTTTTTGAAACAAAAAATACAACGTTCTTCAGGAATTTTATTTAATTCTTCATCCATAGGAGAAAATTATTGCTCCTAAAGATGTACCAGAAACTATATTAGAGGAGGAGGAGGAGGAGGAGGAAGAAGAGGCAGAAGAAGAAGGAGACAATATAGAAGAAGCTCAGGAATTGTTAGATGCAATTAAAGAAAATATGGAACAAAATGCAGGTAAAACTCATTAGCAATGAGACAGTAGCTAATACAGATATGTATGCACCTTCTGTAAAAATAGACATCTTCTTTAATTTAAATTGTTAATTTTACACTGATCCCAACTATGTGTTGTAGTGTATAGGGTTTTAGATTTGGATTGGGAAGTTTAATCTAAGCCTGGATATACACTGCCCTATATCCCATGATCTGATCCTACATTATCCCATATTATCTGGCAGTGTAGACTCACATAATCCAGTTCAAAGCAAATAATCTGGGATCAGATTATTAGAGTATAGGGCAGTGTATATCCAGCCTAAGGTAGAGAGAGCATGCCTTGTTATTTAGCCTCATATGAAAGGAAGGAGGTTATATCCATTTTATTCTTAGATATGCTATCTAATAGGAAGATTTCCATGCAGTTCATGAAGCTCTCATAGGATAATTCCTATCCTATAACTAGTCTATGACATTCAGGGGGATTTTTAGTCTTCAACAGTATATCCATCCCTCTAATCCCACCTGTATCTATATGACTACAGAAATGTCTTTCATATCTGTGGAGAAATGAAAGATTTTCCACTTAGACATTTTGTTCTGGTGAAGAAAAAAACCTGCCCTCTATTCCTGACATGTACTCACACATGTCCTATTGAAAGAGAGCACATGAAGGGATGAAGACTATATGCTACAGTCTTAGGTATCCTCACTACATACTTTTCTGACCACATGTGTTTTCATGATGCTGCAATAAAGTAAAATGTGGGGAACTGGCTAGATCAGAGTTTTCCAGACTTTGTGTTGCAATGTGAGTTGGCTGCAGCATGTATGTATGTCGCATGAACGTAATGAGAAGCCTCTTGAGTCGATGTGAAATAAGCAATCAATAATATTTTTAAAAATATAAGTGAAAGGTTTTCATTAGATATATTGTATCCCCATACATTTCATGATTACAATTTGCATATTTGTCCACATCTCTTATAATGGCTGGTTAAGCCTCTAGTTTGTTAGTAAAACTAAATTACTGTGTCGTGAAAGATGCATGTCTAAAAAGTGCAGCACCAACATGAAATATTTGGAAAGCTCTGCACTAGATATAGTGATCTTGGTGCATTGCAAATATTTGTTCTTTTGGTGTCTCACATCTTCCACTATGAATGATGAAGGTAATATGATAATGGATGTTTTGTTTCCAAACTAGGTCGTATAGATGATCAGTATGTGATTAGGTTTATGAGGGAAACACTAACATCTATGCCATGTAGAAACCAAGGGTATGTTTTGGATGGGTTTCCAAAAACCTATGAGCTGGCTAAGGATCTCTTTAATCGTAAGTACCAGTGCTAGTTTCTTAATGGCCTATGAATGTTGGACAAGCTGGACAATTTATTTCGCTGAAAAGCCAACCCTGGAAATATGGTGCAGATGCAACTGCTTGAATCCCAGTTTTGAGAAAAAGGCAGAGTGTAAATGGCAATACTATTAATATAAGCCCAGCCTCATGATGAATCCATTTTTACATGCAAACCTATAAGGACTAAACTCCAGTGTTTAAGAGTGTAAGGGGTGAATAACTGATAGCTCTTCTGTCAATTTCAACCCTCCATGGAAACACATGAAACACATGAAGGCCAAGTTGGATAGGTTATTATAGATTTATGATGTCATATTGTACCTGTTTAGCTTCCTTTTTTAAGCAGCTGGAGGATCCTAATATGTATTAGCACAATGATAAAAGAAGTTATTTCCTGAACAGCACCACTATTCCAGTCTCATTCTCTGTCTCCCATACACACTCATCTCTACTTGAAAGAAATGTAAAAAAGTAATTAGTTTTTTTTTTTAGAAACATCCAGCACAGCGGTTTTCAACCTGTGGGTCCCCAGGTGTTTTGGCCTACAACTCACAGAAATCCCAGCCAGTTTATTAGCTATTAGGGTTTCTGGGAGTTGAAGACCAAAACACCTGGGGACCCATAGGTTGAGAACCACTGCTCTAGCACTTCAACTGCTTTATCCCTAAATTTGAAGTATGTTCTTGAAGAGTAGTCTTCAAATTTTATCACTGTATTGTTCATCATACAGTGGAGAGTCAATTGTCACTATCAATTTGTCTCTCAAAGATCCCTTTCAAACTCTGCCCTGCTTCTGCAGCTGGGGCCCATCAGTGACCTCATACCATCTGACCACACATGCTGCATATTTTGACTATCTTACCACTAGATTATGCCAGTTTTTGTAGCAGAGCATGGATGGGAATTGTGCAGTCCTCCTGATGTTGTTGAGCTGCAGTATCCAGCAGTCTTATATACACTACGTGTGCCACTGCATACTTAGCCAAAAAGTAATGTAGAATTGGTTACCCAGTTCAGCTAAGTTAAAGTATTATTTTGGAAAGTAACTATGGTTGTTATGTCTGCATCAGTGTTTTGATTACTAAAATATCTGTCAGCCGTAAGTTCACAAGGCTCACTTGAAATGGCCAACCATGGCTGCTTGTTATGGTCCAGAAAAAACTACAGTTTGTGAAAATGCTATTATCAAGCATACAAAAATTAAATGAATGGGAGAACTTATGAAATGTGAGGGAGAGGATGAACACCTACAAGTGTAGTTTTTGGAGTCCAGACAAGTATTTTCTGTACTGGGACAAAATGTGTGGGATGCTATGATAGATATCATTTATAAACTCCAGATATCCTAGTTGCTATGCACATTGATTGTATTTTTTTATGTAGTTGAAGAGGAGGAGGAGGAAGATGATACAAGAGGGAAAATTCACCACTTTGATAAAGTAATAACGCCCGGTAAGTTTGTTGTACTTAAGACCATCCTAATTTGATTGGTTAATTCCTTCATTCTAAACTGAGAACTGTCTAGAGATATAAAAAGGGAGCATCAATGGAAGGTATCTGCTTTTTTAGAAGCAAAAGAGACACATGGGTAGTTTAGTTTATTTTCTTGCAAAAGTTATTACAAAACATCTAGCGGTCAACCAGAATCAGAATCTAACCAAGGGAAAAAGTGCTTGAGAAAAGGAAACCACAAAAATTCTTCTGGTTTCTTAGTAGACTAATAGATTTTTTTTGGCATGTGCTTTTTTGGATGGCAGCCCACATCATGTCAGAAGAGTTGCCTTAATTGGTAAATTATTATGCACATGACTGAGTGAATGCGTAAATGGTTGAAGGATTTTAATCAGTGAGGTCATGGAGAATTGAAAGTCACAATATAAATAGTGGTCATTATCTTCATGGTGGTCCTTATCAGATATTACCAAGGTAGTTAACACATCTACTCTCACAGGGGTACGTTGATGAATACATGCAGTATGATGAAAAGTCTTTGTTTCTGTTCCAGCAATAATGGCCACTTAAGGTAATGATCACTGTTCACATTTCAGACCCCCTTAACCTCTTGGATTATAATTCCTCATCCAAGCACTCATTGCCCATGCAGTTTGAGAAGGGGATGGGTGGGCTCTTTATCTCAGCTCTAGCAAATGGCAAAATGTGCTGTCCACCACTAGCTAATCAGAGTGGGTTCAAGATGGCAAACATTAACTATGAGGAAAAAATGAGAAGTTAGGAAAGGCACCAGCAGTTTGCTTTTGCCTGGGTCTACTGGGAGGGAAAGATACCACTCCCCTCCCATCTGCTAATTGAGTGTAAACTATTTATCATACCTTGAATTCCATTTAGAGCAATCAAAATAAACTGAGGAAAAAGGGGAAAGTACGAGGAGGAAAAGGAACCTGATTTAAAATTCAGATGAACAAGTGGAACAACAAAGGACTGATCAAGATTGTCCCTGCCAGATCAGGATGGCGTGGCAAATACATATCCAGTCACTCCAATTTGGAAGACAGAGCCCCCGGTGGCACAGTGGGTTATACCCCTGTGCCGGAGGTTTGAATCCGGGGAGAGGCAGATGAGCACCCTCTATCAGCTCCAGCTCCTCATGCGGGGACATGAGAGAAGCCTCCCACAAGGATGATAAAACATCAAATCATCCAGCTGTACCCTGGGCAACGTCCTTGCAGACAGCCCATTCTCTCACACCAGAAGTGACTTGCGGTTTCTCAAGTCTCTCCTGACACGACAAAAAAAATAAAATTAGAAGACTATTGTGAATCAATTCTAACTTTTAAAAATGCTTTTCTTCACAGATTTTATTGTTTCTTTGAATGCACCTGATGAATTTCTGAAAAACCGAATCATGAATCTCCCCGAATCTGTTGTTGCTGGAACTCATTATGCCCAGGACCGATACTTAAGAGCCCTGAGTCTTTTTAGGGAATTAAATACTGAAGATGAAACTGTTCTCAACTACTTTGATGAAATAGAAATGCATCCTCAGAATATTGGTATAGTAGAAACGATTTGATTTATTATACTCACATAGTTAATGCAATGGATTTTAACTCTTGATAGTTATTGTAGTTGTTCGGCTAAATTAGATGCGGAGCAATTGATGCTAGGTCAAATATTCTGATTTCTGAGAACACTAAATGGCAAAAGCCAGATGGAAATGATGACCAAGAGTGCTTACTGATACACCAGCTACACCCTTTCATAGAACTGGAGCTCATGCACTGGTAACCTCAAGGCTGTCGTTGCAACACACAGTTTTTTGAGCTACTTCAGAACCAGGTTCAGTAACTTTGGTTTTGGTTATGAACAAATGTAGGATGGATATATATCACTTATATTAAAATTACTCCACTAGCTGCCATTAGTTTCCAGGCAAGATACAGCATTAGTTGTCATCTTGTAAGTCCTACTTGGAAGTGTCAGACTTGTGGTCATCCAAATGTTTGGGCCTCCAACACCCAGAAACTCTAGCCAACTTGTCCAACAGCCAGGAATTCTGAGAACTGAAGTTCAGAACACTTAGAAGGTCACGATTTTGACACCACTCTGCATCCAAGATGCAACACTGTATAATTCCCTGTATAATCCACCCCATACAATCTGGAAAGTGTTAACCAGAGGACCTTTTAACTTACCAGAAGAGATCTGACAGCTGGATAGGTTATCTGCAGTTAAAACAGTATTAAAGACCAATCTCTCCCAACAGCCTTTCCAGATGGTTCTTAATATGTATAATTTTTAAATGTCATTATGCTGTTTTAATATTACAGTTAGCCACCACATCCACTGGGGTGGGGGCTTGGAACCCCTGTAAAAGTGGGGGAGAGGCAAATAAAAAACCCCACATTTTAAAAAAATAATATTTGAGAGAACACACATGTCTAGGAATCTTTGAATTTTCCATTATGACTCAATGTTTAACTTCCCACCGAAGTATGCAAATACACAATATTGTTCTGTCCATTTTAATGGAAAAATTGTTATTTCTGCTGGCGTATACTATTTGTGTTTTTTTATGCATCCTGTGTGACATAATGCACTATTTCTCTTATTTCCTGTCTCCATACTCGAAAGATGTATCAAAGTTTGAGGGTCTGGAAAACAGTGTTATAGCGAGAGAAATAATAAAAAATATTGGCGAGCCTCGAAATTATGGTTTGACAGATGAAGAACTGGAAGAATTTGAACGGAAACAAGCAGAGGAGCGCCTTGCCAAGGAAGCTAAAGAAAAAGCTGAATTGGAGAAAAAAGAAGCTGATGAAAAGGCTCAAAAATTGGCAAATTGGGAAGAATGGGTAAGTTAATTTCAAACACCAGATAATTTTAATGTGAGCCTAAATTCAATTGTTAATCTCTACTAGAGTACACCTAATTGCTGATTGAACATGTAATAGGACTGCCATTCAGCTTGAAGGCTCATGAAAAGATTTCAACACTTATGTAAATAACATTAATATGGTAAATCTGGCAGCTGAATTTAGGCCATTATTGATTCTTTCATAGCATCACACCTTTCAGGTGAGCAGGTCGAAGGAAGGTGCACTTTCACTGCTGTTCTTAAACAACCTCTCAAGAGAAGAGAGACAGTAATACATTGCGGAAAATTTTCAGGGATTTCTTGATGAATGTCTAGTAAAAACATTCAGAAGGAGTTTTTTTTTTTTGTCGTGTCAGGAGAGACTTGAGAATCTGCAAGTCACTTCTGGTGTGAGAGAATTGGCCGTCTGCAAGGACGTTGCCCAGGGGACGCCTGGATGATTTGATGTTTTATCATCCTTGTGGGAGGCTTCTCGGTCTTCAGTCCTGCCGGCACAGGGGTTTAACCCACAGCGCCACCGGGGGCTCCATTCAGAAGGAGTAGTGACAGCACAAGAAATGGATCCTCATGAGATTTAATCATTGTACAGATTTTTCTCTGCAAATGTGACCTAGCATATATTTTTTGAGCTAAATTGGATTGGAAGAAACACAAGCTCGATTCTGTATATTCCAGTATTTTACAGGTATCCCTTCATTTGTAACATTGAAGCCTGATTATTGGAACAAAGGTGATAAAGTTATTTTATAACAGAAACATTGTGCGTAGGCCATGTTACAGTTTTAATATCCTAAGAGATATACCAAAATCCAGATTTCTAGCGAAGCAGTTATCCTGCTAAGATGCTTCTTTACCCTCTTTTAACCCTTTTTTAATTACTATTATTATTTTTTATTCAAAGAAACAAACATACCTTCATACAAACAAACAGACACATGCAAAGAAACAAATTACATCAGAGAAACAAACATTTTTCCTACTATAAAAAACTAACTTAAAACAACAAAACTATTAAACCAAACCAATACACAAAATCGACTGCTCACTGGAGGGAAAGATACTAGAGACACGACTGCTCACTGGAGGGAAAGATACTAGAGACACGACTGCTCACTGGAGGGAAAGATACTAGAGACAAAGTTGAAGTACTTTGGCCACATCATGAGGAGACAGGAAAGCCTAGAGAAGACAATTATGCTGGGGAAAGTGGAAGGCAAAAGGAAGAGGGGCCGACCAAGGGCAAGATGGATGGATGGCATCCTTGAAGTGACTGGACTGACCTTGAGGGAGCTGGGGGTGGTAACGGCCGACAGGGAGCTCTGGCGTGGGCTGGTCCATGAGGTCACGAAGAGTCGGAGACGACTGAACGAATGAACAACAACAACAATACACAAAATACACATACAAAAGTAAGACTAACAAACGTAAAAACTAACCTAATAACCTCTCACACTGTCTGATTTTTTTTTTAAGTTTGGCTACTCTACTCCCTTTAAGAAATACTGTATATCACACTTCAGCATTTAGTAACATATTACTAGCTCGTAAATTTCACAATTAGTCAATCCCCTACCCAACCTTATATTAATCACTAAATCCCCAATCTCTTTTAAAGTTAGATAAATACTTCTCCATCAGCCTAATTAATTTCTTGATCTTAATTATTTTACAAATCTTCATTTACTGTTATCATAAATGCTAGACATCTCTTTTCCATTCTGTTTTGGAGTACAACTCCCACATTCCTTCACCCAACACAGTTACTGCCTTACTAGCTGGAACATTTGAAAAGGTTTAGTCCAAAAATGCTGTTTCTATGGTACGGATACATTTATGTTATCAGCTTCAACCAAACAGTTGGGAGAACAAAGATATGCCTTTTCGCACAAAAAGATTCTCCCTTTTGGAACTGACTCTGGCAATTTCTTAATTATTGTGGTACATATAATGATAGCAATTAGTTAATCTGCTTGACACAAGTACTATCTGGTGATAACAGTCCATTAATTTCCCTAGAACAGGAAGTATGCTAGACTATCTGTACAAGTCAGTTTTTATTTCTCAAATATTTTTTTCCTATTTTATGAGGAACCTATGATTCAGGCCCCTTATACCCTATCATATAATCCAAATTATCTGCTTTGAACTGGATTATATGAGTCTACTCTGCCATATAATTCAGATCAAAGCAGATAATCTGGATTTTATATGGCTGCGTAGAAGGGGCCTCAGTGTCGCTGGAGTGCAATTCCAGTCACCCCTTACCACTGACTATAATGTCCGAGCTGATGTGTTTGGAGTCCAGTGGGATCTGGATAGCTGCATGTTTTCTAAAAGCAATGTGAAAGATCAGGACTCTGGAAAATGGTTGCTAATCAGCCTACCGTAAATAAGATTGGCCAAAATGATTGCCAGGTGAATCAGTCAATCTGTACACAGACAGTACAAAAGTTTGTACATGGGATGCCTTGTGAAAAAAACCCCTCAACAGTATTTAAATATTTGCTGTTGTATCAAAGGTTTCTGATGGGTATGATGCTTAAGCTAACTAATATCATATTCTGACAGCATGTATTTATATTAATTAGGATTTAAAAGTCAGGATCAGATAAAAAATGGCAAGTATTTTAAAAATGGCTTTTGTTTTTAAAGATTTTTGAACCTAACCTGACTTGCGATTTTTTCCCTAAGCATAACATTTAAGATTTACGTTTACTGAAAAATGTCCATATTTCTTTAGAATAAACGTTTAGATGAAGTGAAGCGACAAGAACAAGAGCTTTTGGAAGCCCAGTCCATTCCGTTAAGAAACTATTTAATGAAGCATGTCATGCCAACTCTTATGCAAGGCTTGAATCAGTGCTGCATGGTTAGGCCTGATGACCCTGTTGACTTCTTGGTAAGAAAACACATTTTCTGTCTGTATGTGTAAATTAGTCTGCCTATTTATGTTGGATTAGAGTAAAAAATTGGTTCCATTTCCATTACATGCTTGAGTCTTCTTCATATTAATGCTGTTGAGAAAAATTAAACACACACACACATATATTGATGTGTGCATTGACCTTATCAGATCTCTACCACAAGAGAGGTAAAAGATGGACTCCAAGGCTATGTTTGACCCTGGTAACTTCTCTAGAGTCTTAACATAGCCCTTTCTCTAGGCCAAAAATATAAATAAAATGAGAGGTGAATTATCTGTCCTGGAAACATACAGGAACAGCAAATAATCTTTTTGGTACATTTCAGCACTGGTAACATTTTTAAAAATACCAGTTTTTGAAATTGCCTGTTGCTTGCCAGTGATAAAACATCATATTAGGAAATGCAACAGTGAACATGTTGGATTTGCATATTTATAGTACAAATTAAAATAATATGAAGAATATGGTAACACTGAACTATACTGTTCACGTTTATGGTGTTAACAGGTATAAAGAGATCCCTGTGTCTTTGGTTGTGTATCTATGTTAGCATCATAAATATGAGCAGTATAGTCCTGTGCATGTTTACTTAAAAATAAAAATTTAAAGAATCCAGTAGACCTTACTCATAGACTAGTGTATACAGGACTACAATATGCCATAATGTTCCATTGATGTCAGATCAGCAGAATTAATTTCTAGATAAGCGCTATTTTAGTAAAATCGTCTTTAATGTATTTTGTTGTAAATCAGCATGGCTTTAGGCGAAATATATTAAGATGTGTCTGAGCACTGGACCACTCTGAGTTACACTCAATCTGCTGTTTTCATAATTTCATAAATGTTGTGTCATGTGGTAAAATGGTCCCTAAAGCTATAGTCCCACTACCATTTATAGTAAGTTATTTGTAGCTTTGCAACCTAGGATTCATTTATAGTAGGAGTCTCCAAACTAAAGCCAGTGGGCTGGATGTGGCCTTCAAGGACATTTAGCCGACCCCTGTCCTGAACTTTAGACTTAGAGTTGCCCTGAGTCTGAAACAACTTGAAGGCACACAACAACAATCCTAATTAACTTGACTATCTCATCAGCCAAAAGTAGGTCCATACTTTCCATTGAAATACTGATAAGTTTATATTGGTTTAAATTAGTATTCATTTTAAATATTGTATTGTTCTTTCATGGTTTTTTGCAGTACAATTAAGATATGTCCAGTGTGCATAGGAATTCATTCATGCTTTTTTCTAACTATAGCCCCACCCCCCAAAAGTCCGAGATACCGCTTGAGGACCCCTGGACTATGGCAACTAATAGAATTAATGCAGTTTCACTCCACTAACTGTGATGGCTCAATGCTATGGGATCCTCAGAGTTGTAATTTTACACATTCTCTAGCTTTCTCTGTCAAATAGTGCTTTTGCCTCACCATACTAAATCCCCCATGATTCCATGTCATTGAGCCATGGCAATGACAGTGGGGTCAAACTGCAGTGTAGATGCACCCCTAATGGACCTAATTCATTTCATGTTTTGTACAATTGGATTGTATGAAATGGACTTAGTCAGTAGTAGATAGATGTCAGAATTGTCCAATGACTCGGACATAGCTGTGGCACCAGGAACAAGGATGTCAAAGTCATTGTCTGGTGCCACAGCTATGCCTGAATCATGGGACAGTTTGAATCCATTTTCATTAATCTGAGGAAAGACTAACATTGACCGGTGCATAGCATGCAAAATTTGTAACTGTGTTTCTTTGTATCATTTCACCAACAGGCAGAATATCTCTTCAAAAATAATCCTGAATTTGACTAAAAAGAGTAAAACGTTGTTACATTTTCAATCATAGTTCTTAATCATAGTTCTGTCACATTACTTTTTAAATGATTTTAAAATAGTGTGTTTATGGTAAAATAAAACATCATTATTTAAAATACCTGTAGTTTGTGATTCATTACAGATACATGCAATCACCCTTTAAAAGTATTGTGATACCCAATAGCAACTGTTGCAATTCGGGGTTTAGAATACATGCAGCATGTAGGAAAGGGTTTTAAATAGCTTTTAAAGTTATAAATCTGACAAAAGAACAATAAAGATGTACTTCAGTATGTTGTGTTGCTGTATGTAATTATATAGTGGTTGCAGGGTTTGACTATATATTCATTTATAACAGTCAATAACCAGCACCAAAAAAACAATCAATGTCAGAATAGGAACATATACATTTACGTATTATGAACTGTCAAAAGCCAAGTTAAAACCCAGTATTGAATATGATAGTTAAAATGGTATCAAACATTTATATGCCAAGATGACAATATAAATGTTTGAAATAAATATTGAAACCTTCTAAGACTGTGACAGCATCTTGCGCTGACAAGCTATTGCTACTGCACAAAAGCTAGCAACTTTGGCAGTAATTTTAGGGTATTGGTTATCCAAAAAAATAATCAACATAAAACCTTACAGACCTCCCTGGTAAACTTTCTAAAATTGGATTTATAAAATGTTTTCGAAGATCCTGGTAAAAAGAGCAGTACAACAAAACGTGCCCCACAGTTTCCACTGCCTTAGTCTCATAGGTACATAGGTGTTCATCGTATGGCACTTTGTTATATCTTCCCTCTTGTACAGCAGTAGGGAGTACATTGAATTCAGAGAGTACACTGAAGAACACCTTCCTATTTTTGGGATAATTAGGTTGTCTAAGTACTCTGCAGGAAGAAGTGCTCTCCCATTGTCTTTGAAGACTGGAAGAATAGAGGCTGTGTTTAGTTATACAGCGCAGTGTCCCAGATACACTGTTGTATGTTTTCTTTCGCTTTTGTGTAGCCCAGTGGTTTTCAACCTGTGGGTTCCCAGATATTGTGGCCTTCAATTCCCAGAAATCCTAACCACTGGGACACTGGCTGGGATTTCTGGGAGTTGTAGGCCCAAACGCCTGGGGACCCATAGGTTGAGAACCATAGTTAGGATGGTATTTCGTGAGAATCTAAGGTTTAGGATTTTCTCATCAATTAACTTGATTCCAACCTTGATTGGAGTAGATTACCAAGGGTCAATGGGGCCAAACCTTTAAACATAAATATCAGTTTTAACCAATTTTTTAATTTGTACATCCAGATCCGAGAACAAATCAAACTCTATAGAGGCCGTGTCAAATCTTTTTACAGTGCAGTCCTTTGCATTTCTGTTTGATTGAGAAAGTGGAAAGGCAAACGATGATAGGAAGAAAACCAACTAATCTGAAATGCTAGATAAAAGTTCTGCAACAACACATGAAATATTTGGATTTATTTATTTATGACATTTCTACCCCACCTTTCTCACCCCAGAGGGGATTCAAGGCTTTGCTCTACAAACATCACTGGTTTGATCTTCTTATATCTCAATTTGGGCACTTTAAGGAGTGACAACAGATTTAGAACATTTTTATGACCCTCGGTTTTGCAGGGCTGTGTTGATTTTTCACGCATCATGTTGCGGAAACAATATAATGTACACAGAAGCATATAAATTTCCTGCTAGTTTTGTTATGTTCCCCTTGATTCTGTTTATGTCGTACTTCATTAAAACCAATTTTAATTTTAAAAAATCTGCTGAGTTTTCTGTGACTGCAATTTAATAAGAAGACAGGGTGCTGATTTTATTTTAACAGATTTTGGGGGTTTTTGTATTTTGACAATTTTAATTATTATTTTAACTATTTATTTTTAATACTCCTGTATATAATTCTATTAATATTTATAAATTACACATTGTATTTTTAAATTTTTTAATTGTTTTAACTATTTTTAAAACTCCTGTTTCCAATTCTATTTTAATATAAATTACGTAGTATTTTTAAAAAAACATTATTGTTTTAACTATTTCTTTCAATACTCCAATGTTTATAATTCTATTTTAATATAAATTACACATTGTATTTTTAAATTTTTTGTTTTAACTATTTTAATACCCATGTTTGTAATTCTATTTTAATATAAATTACATTGTATTCTTAAGAAATAATTATTGTTTTAACTATTTTTAATACTCCTATGTTTTTATAATAATAACAACAACAACATTTTATTTGTACTCCGCTACCATCTCCCCAAGGGACTCGGTGCGGCTTACATGAGGCCGAGCCCAAACACAACAATACAAACAATAATCACAACAATAAATGCCATTAAAATAAAACATAGACAATAAACATATAACATTATCAATAAGACAACATACAATTAAAACTGTGGGAAGGCCAAATGTAAAAATTAAAATTTTAAATAGTGCTGAGGCATGGACGAAAAGGTGATAATAGAATAGAAAAGGTATAATAGAATTAAAGGGCGTTTTTAATTCTATTGTAATTTTATAAATTACACATTGTATTTTTAAAATTTTTGTTTTAAATATTTTTAATACTCCTGCTTGTAATTCTATTTTAATATAAATTACATTGTATTCTTAAAAAATAATTATAGAATCATAGAATCAGAGTTGGAAGAGACCTCATGGGCCATCCAGTCCAACCCCCTGCCAAGAAGCAGGAATATTGCATTCAAAACACCCCTGACAGATGGCCATCCAGCCTCTGTTTAAAAGCTTCCAAAGGAGCCTCCACCACACCCCGGGGCAGAGAGTTCCACTGCTGAACAGCTCTCACAGTCAGGAAGTTCTTCCTCATGTTCAGATGGAATCTCCTCTCTTGTAGTTTGAAGCCATTGTTCCGCGTCCTAGTCTCCAAGGAAGCAGAAAACAAGCTTCCTCCCTCCTCCCTATGACTTCCCCTCACATATTTATAAATGGCCAACATATCTCCTCTCAGCCTTCTCTTCTTCAGGCTAAACATGCCCAGCTCCTCAAGCCGCTCCTCATAGTGCTTGTTCTCCAGACCTTTTATCATTTTAGTCGCTCTCCTCTGGACACATTCCAGCTTGTCAATATCTCTCTTGAATTGTGGTGCCCAGAATTGGACACAATATTCCAGATGTGGTCTAAACAAAGCAGAATAGAGGGGTAGCATTACTTCCTTAGATCTAGACACTAGGCTCCTATTGATGCAGGCCAAAATGCCATTGGCTTTTTTTGCCGCCACATCACATTGTTGGCTCATGTTAAACTTGTTGTCCACGAGGACTCCAAGATCTTTTTCACACATAGTTTATTGTTTAAACTATTTTGAATACTATGTTTTTAATTCTATTATAATTTTATAACTTACACATTGCCTTTTTAAATTTTTTTAATTGTTTTAACTATTTATTTTTAACACTCCTACGTTTATAATTCTATTTTAATATTTATACATTACACGTTGTTATGTTTTTTTTAATCTCGTTGGCCTCGTTGAGTCTCCTTTAAGAGGGAAACGCGGGATGGAATCCAAAACAATACATAAATTTCAGCGCCTTCCATCATCGCACCGCCCGCGCATGCGCGGCCGATTTGAAGCCCTCCTCTCGGCATTGGCCCCACGCGCATGCGCAGTCAACCCAACGTCCGTTACCACGTTCCTGCACTTCCCGCGAGGCCAGCGAACGCCTAGCCTAGCTTTAGCCTGACGCGCGAACTCCAGCCTTCCTTTGCGTCAGGCGACGCAAAGGGTGGGCGACGTCGTGACGTCATGACGCCCACATGCCCCCCTCCCTCCGCTCCAGAACGTTGCTGTGGTAGCGCCTGGGCGCCATGTTAGGAGGCCGGAGGGGAAGAGGAAGAATCCGAAGCGGCGGCGGAAACAACAACAACAAGGGGAGCAGCGGCGGCGGCCGGCCTCTCCTCCAGGCCTGAGCAGCCTCTCTGCTTCCCCTCTGCCTCTCTCTCTTCCTTCGGACCGGGCCCGGATCATGTTCACGACGCCCGCTTTCCAGAGGCGGGAAAAGTGACTGTCCCGGGAGGAGGAGGTGGCGGCCTTTCACCCACACCCGGAAAGACGATGCCGTTGTAAGTGAGGCCTAGCGGGAGGGAGAGAGGGAAGGAGGGAGGGTAGGCCTCTCGGTGCCCTTCGCAGCCTCCCGACCGCCTTCCCCGCGCGGGGCGGCCTTTGTTCCCTCAGCCCAGGCCTCTCGCCCTCACGCGGCGGCCTCTTCCTTCCCCTTCCAACTCCGAAAGCCAATCCGCGCCCTCCTTCGCCTGACCTCAGCCTTTGCATTTACTGGAAGCCATTAATGGCAGTCAGGTTACAGAAACCCACCTCCCGCGCCTCACTGGCGGGCCCCTGCCGCCTCCTCACGTGACTGGTCGCGGCCTGCTTCGGCGTAGCCTGGATCAGGCCGGAATGGGCACGATTCCCTTCTTCGCCGGCCGGCTTTCTTCGCCCTCCACAGGCCCGCATCTCTGCTGTAGACTGAATGCAGTCCAGCGCCACTTGGGCCCCTTCCATACAGCTGAATACAATCCCACATGATCTGCTTTGAACTGAGAAATACGGCACTGTGGACTCAGATAATCCAGTTCAAAGCAGACATTGGGGTTTTCTGCCTAGCTATGCTGGGTCATATTCTGGGCATCACAATTCAAGAGAGATATTGACAAGCTGGAATGTGTCCAGAGGAGGGCGACTAAAATGATCAAGGGTCTGGAAAGCAAGCCCTATGAGGAGCGGCTTAAGGAGCTGGGCATGTTTAGCCTGAAGAAGAGAAGGCTGAGAGGAGATATGATAGCCATGTATAAATATGTGAGAGGAAGCCACAGGGAGGAGGGAGCAAGCTTGTGTTCTGCTTCCTTGGAGACTAGGACACAGCAATGGCTTAAAACTACAAGAGAGGAGATTCCATCTGAACACGAGGAAGAACTTCCTGACTCTGAGAGCCGTTCAGCAGTGGAACTCTCTGCCCCGGAGTGTGGTGGAGGCTCCTTCTTTGGAAGCTTTTAAACAGAGGCTGGATGGCCATCTGTCAGGGGTGATTTATAGAATCATAGAATAAAAGAGTTGGAAGAGACCACATG